GCGGTTGATTAGATAGGTGAGAGAGCGATAGGCACAGAGGGCACAGTCGCATCAATGCTCAAATCAACGGGCAAGGAAGGGGTCCCATTTCTCGGGTTCTGGGCCGTTTCTCATGGTTCTTCCTTCTTTCGTGTACCACTCACCATCCCTAGGTAATTTGAAATGGGTTGCCTTTCCATCGTGAATTCGTCCTTTAAACTTGATCTCAATGCATAGCTCAAACAGATTTTAACCTTTTCTTTGATTGCGATGCACTCTAGATCGGATTTACACGTACACATCGAGTAGACTGCAAGAATACCCTCGTATTGGCTGAGAATCTTCTCGTAGACACGGGTTTTGCCTCTGCGGACTCGTATCTGAAAATAAAAGTTACGCAAATTCCCTGAGACAGTCACTGAGGAAAAAACGAAAACAAAAGTTCAAAGGTGGTAAGTCGTGAAGGGTGACAGGATGTGATGTTATTCTTTTGCCAACGGGGTTGTTAGGTGGAGACTTTTATTAGTGGCCTGACGTTTCGACGAGATCGTCTTCCTCAAAGGCCTAAACTGGCCAAGGTTTGAGAGTTGTCCTTTAAACCCCCAAAATAAATGTGCTTGGAGAAAGGCTCCCTAATATTAGGTTGGTAGCTATGAAATGTCGTTTTTGATCAAAGATTATTTTAAGTATAAAAGCTATACCAAAGCTTATCAACCTAATTTATCCATAGTAGGCCATTCTTATACTGCTTCACCACACTGTAGCAGGACTTTTTATCTGAGGCATCCTTCTGTAAAACACGCTTTCAACGAAGTCAGGAACCTTCTTCTTCTTGGAGTTATGCAGCAGAGTTCCAGTATTGGCAACCAGTACTGCTTGCTCGCGTCGCTCAGAATAGGCCGAACCCATTTTCTATCCTGAAAGGCCTTAACAGTCGCACGTAGGAACTTTTAAATTTTTCTGTTGACACAACTGAATCTCCATGCAAGTTTTGTGCGGTTTGTCGAGGACTCAATTCGTTGGCTTTCTTTATTTCTCCGTCATCTAGAGCTAGAGGTCAAAATCCACGATATTCGTCGCCAGGTCTACCTGAAAATAAAAGTTACGCAAATTCCCTGAACGGTCACTGAGGAAAAAACGAAAACAAAAGTTCAAAGATGGTAAGTCGTGAAGGGTGACAGGATGTGATGTTATTCTTTTGCCAACGGGGTTGTCGGGTGGAGACTTTTATTAGTGGCCTGACGTTTCGACGAGATCGTCTTCCTCAAAGGCCTAAATCTGGCCAAGGTTTGAGAGTTGTCCTTTAAACCCCCAAAATAAATGTGCATTGGAGAAAGGCTCCCTAATATTAGGTTGGTAGCTATGAAATGTCGTTTTTGATCAAAGATTATTTTAAGTATAAAAGCTATACCAAAGCTTATCAACCTAATTTATTTCCTTTATGTGTGTCATCCACTCTCCACCTTTTGTTATGCAAAGCATGGAGGTCTACCTCGTAGAACTCTTCCAGGTACGACTCGAAGAAGTTAGGTACTCAAATTTTGACGTCGTCGCGGTCATTGAATTTATTTGCTGCTGAGGGGTGCTGTATTGGCCTAGGTCAGTGATTGTTGGACGGTGCCAGGTCTGAGCTATATGGCGCGAGAGGCAGAGCGTCCCAGCCCAACTCCTCGATTTCTTGTTGCAAAATTTTCGCGACATGTGATCTTGCATTATCGTGCCAAAATTTTTCAATGACCGAATTTGCCCTTTGACTACGCAGAGCCCGATCCTCGCCTGCGGGATGTTGTGCGCAGGGTTTAGCTGTAACTATATGACGCACAATCAGCTCTCCATAGTAAGCCATTCTTATACTGCTTCACCATGTAGCAAGACTTTTTCTCTGTGGCTGTCCGGTTTCGGAGAGGCCCTCAGCTGCCCATCTGTTGCCAACCACGGCCATCTTCTCACTTTGTTATCGGGGAACATCCTTCTGTAAAACACGCTTTCAACGAAGTCAGGAACCTTCTTCTTCTTGGAGTTATGCAGCAGAGTTCAAGTATTGGCTCGTACTGCTTGCTCGTGTCGCTCAGAATAGCCGAACCCATTTTCTTTCCTGGAAGGCCCTAACAGTCGCACGTAGGAACTTTCAAATTTTTCTGTTGACACAACTGAATCTCCATGACAACGTGGAGCTCGTGCGGCTCCACGTGACAATCACAACGTGGAGCCGCACGAGCTGCAGGCAATCACCGACTCACGTCCGAGCTTGCGAAGCTATGCAGAGAGGCGATAAAGGAAGATCTCAAGGAGCGAAGAGCAGCAGTATTAGCTGAAGCAGCAGAGGCTGGAGCATCCGCAATGCCCGCCGAAGCTTTGCCAGCTACAAGACCAAGATGACCTGCCTCCGACGTCCGGATGGAACAGTTACTGCATCCCGAAGGGCAATGGAGAAAGTCATCCACGACTTCTACTCGGATCTCTTCGATAGCCATGTCCATCTGCCCACTTATCAACTGCAACAGGATGGATACGTCGTCCCTCAGTACTCTCTTCCGAAGTCCGACACGCCATCAAGTCGGTGAAGAATCGTACAGCACCCGGTCTCGACAGGGTCAAACCGGAACATCTGAAGAATGCGCCGCCAGTTATCATCAAAACTCTGGCTCGACTCTTCACGCGCTACCTGTCGGAATGCAAGGTACCCACTCCGTGGAAAACCAGCAGGACCGTGTTGCTGTACAAGAAGGGAGACCTGGACGACATTGGCAACTATCGCCCAATCTGCCTGCTGTCTGTAATCTACAAGCTATTCACTCGAGTCCTTAACAGGATCGGCAGAATACTAGATGAAGGACAGCCATGCGAGCAAGCAGGGTTCCGAAGAGGGTTCAGCACGATCGACCATATCCACACGGTTACGAAGACTCATTGAAGTTTCACGAGAGTACAAGATGCCGCTTTGTCTCACGTTCATCGACTTGAAGAAGGCCTTCGACTCTGTGGAGACAGAAGCGGTCATCGAAGCCTTGGGCAACCAGGGCGTCCCTACTCAGTACATCAAGATTCTTCGTGAGCTCTACAGCAACTTTACGACCAGAATCTCACCATTCTACAAGGAGGTCATCATCGACGTCAAGAGAGGGGTTCGACAGGGCGACACCATCTCGCCCAAACTCTTCAGCGCCGCTCTCGAGAACGTCATGCGTCAACTGGAATGGGAAGACATGGGAGTGAAGGTCGACGGCCGGCAACTACACCACCTTCGTTTTGCTGACGACATCGTTCTTATAACGCCGAACATCGAGCAAGCGGAGCGAATGCTGGCTGATTTCGACTGCGCCTGTGGTAAGGTCGGTCTACAGCTGAACCTAACGAAGACGATGTTTATGAGAAACGGATTGGTTCCTGATGCCCCATTCACGCTCAACGGAACGAACATCACCGAATGCTCCAGCTACGTGTACCTAGGTCGGGAAATCAATATGATGAACGATCTAGCTCCAGAGCTGAGCAGGAGGAAACGAGCGGCTTGGGGAGCGTAAAGAACATCGAGGGAGTAGTGAAGAAGACGAAGAACATCCGGCTCCGTGCCCACCTCTTCGATTCCGCTGTCCTTCCTGCCCTAACCTACGCCTCAGAGACTTGGACTCTGCGCAGGCAGGACGAGCATGCGGTCAGCGTTATCCAACGCGCTGTCGAGAGGACGATGCTAGGAGTAACCCTATACACGCAAGTGCAGAGGGGAATCCGGAGTGCCGAACTACGCCAACGATCGAAGATCAGGGACGCTGCCGTTTTCGCCAAGGAATCGAAGATAAGGTGGGCCGGACACGTCATGCGATTTTGCGATGACCGTTGGACCAGAGCGGTTACCGACTGGATCCCTCGGGACGTCAAACGAACACCTGGACGACCGCCGGCCCGATGGTCAGACTTCTTCACGAAAGCTCTGAACGAAAGGAATGAAGGACTTCGTGTCCCTCGAGCGAGGAGGGTCCACTGGACAACTCTTGCACGCGACAGGGACGAATGGAGACGTTGCTGGCGCCCGCTCGAGCAATTCGATGATCAACGGGACGACAGGTGATACAGGTGATACCGAGGACTCAATTCGTTGGCTTTCTTTATTTCTCCTTCATCTGGAGCTAGAGGTCAGAATCCACGACCATCGTCATCAGCTCCTTTACCTCAGTCTTGGAAGAGCTGAAACCATAGCTGAAAGTGCACCAGAGACTGAGTGTTGCTGCTCAATGTTTTGCACGTAATGAGTGGGATTCGTTGGCTGTTTTTCCTTGCTTGAATATACACGCTCAGGCGATGTTTTCTGATCATCATTCGAGCAAAAGTTTTGGCTCGAAGAACATCCGCGCTCACTGCAGTAACAATAATTGAAAATACCCACCTTCCCCACCAATCACATCCATTGCATATTGTATATTCCCATTTTGAAATGCCTGCACAGTAGGACGGTGAGGCCACTGCGGCGTCAATTGTGTGGGGCAAGACGCATAAGCATGTGGACGAGATGGACGAGTTTGCGCAGTCGCTCATCGACAGCGTCAACGGCCACCGACCAACAATCTGAGCACTTTAATCTATTCCATAGATCGATACGGATCGCCAGATACTATTACTGTAATTAGTACCTTTATTTGATTCTCTACCTCGATACAGTAATTGTTTTTCTGGCAGTAACAAAGTGTCGGAGATGGCGATGCAGTATCGTTTGGACACGCCTGGATCTGAATCTCTCTTTCTGGGGCACAGTTCCAGTAATACTGCTCCATGGGAAAGGAGGAGCATAGCTGAAATATTCTGGAAGAATTTTACGCGTATCTGAGATTATTGACGTGAAATCAGTATTGTCTGCTCTAAGAGCTTGCCGTCGTGCAACAAGAGGTCACTGCGCGACATCGCACCTGTTTCGCGCGATGTCGCGCAGTGACCTTCTGATGCACGACGAGGAAGATAAGAGGAATTACGCACACATCGCTCGTCTCCTTCTGGATCCACCACATAATGATCGTGATCCCGTCGACAGTACACGTGAGCAGGTCGCAGGGACGGTACATCTGTTGATCTGGAACAAATCGGCCTCGCTTGAATTGCTTCCCTAAAGCAAATTTAGTCAGGGCAAGTTACCGTTTCCGACGTTCTGTCGACAGGCTGACCTGCACTTGGTTGAGCGTTCAATGGCTGATTCGAAGGACTCGAGCTAATAAAACATAATCAACATGGCGTGAAGAATGGGAGGGTGAAAAGCATGTTCTTCGAGAAGGAATAGGGAAACATAAAGTGCACGATCGACTCATTTTATCTTGGCATGGAGAGGATGAATTTGTATTGCTTTATTGAGAGCCTCTCGCGGATTGCGGTACTTGACAAGGCTGATGTTTCGGCTTTCTTCGCCTTCTTCAGAGCCTGAAAAAATCGAGAACTTTGAGATAGGCCCCTCGAATCTTCTAGCAATCCCGAAGACAACTCTAATAGAGTAGAAAGCCTTCAGTCGGTATCCATCAATTTTGTATTCATCAATATCTAGTTTTCTGAGAGTTTTTCAGACTGAGGGGCTCCTACAGTTGGGATCGGACTATGGGCAAGCATTGCAATCCGAAATCAATGGTCGCTGTCTGGATTCCTCAGAGCTTCGTCGCGCGTTCGATCTAAATAATCTCGTCTTTCACAGGCTCTGAAGAAGATGAAGAAAGCGAAAAGTCAACCTTGTTATAGTACTACAATCAGAGGCATCAATAAATAATAAAACTGAAGAGGGAGACAACTGGGTGCACTAGTTTGTGCAAGCTACGGAAATCCCAACGTTGCAGAAGCAGAGCTCTTCATTCCTCTTCTATTTGATCCAGCTTTTCCATGTCGAATGCATTTTCGCGCACCTGGGGCTCATTACTCTCCTTAGATTCAGGTATAGTCCTCACCCCGGCTAAATAACTGCTCTGTATTACTTGGCCTCCCCACCCTTTCAAACAGGGTCCAGCCTCTGCCTTGCTGAGTCAGTCGCTCCCGTGGATGTCGGAGTATGGTCTGCCACTGCAGAGGGGCGCCACTTTTGCACGTCAACTCGTCAGTAACAATAACACGCAAGGCGCTAATGATTTGATCGAATTCTGTCCAAAATGTCTGGACCCGCCCGCCAGAGCAGGGTCAACCCTATGTTGCTACAAGTAGCAACGGGGGTCGTATTTTGATGAGTTTGTAGAGGGGGGTCGTACTTGCTTCGGTTGTAAGAAGTTGCATGTGATGAGTGGGGAGCGGCGCGGGAGAAAATTTGCCGTTTCAGCGCGCGTATATCCCCCCAAAACGGCAATTATTTTGAGGTGAAAATACATGGAATTGTGGGGAAATTGGCGGGAATTTTAGCGGTAAGTATATACCCCCCCCCCGCTCGACGGTAATTTTTTGGGGTAAAAATTGTTTTGAAGGAGGGGGTCGTATGAAACATTTCATGAGGGAGGGGGGTCGTAAAAACTTTTTGAAAAGTAGCAACGATAGGACCGACCCTGCCACCAAGGCTGTGCTATGCAGAGGCTCTTATGTGCACCGCAGTGTTGATCTACTACTCGGACTTCACAGACTTCTCCACAGGGTAGAGCGAAAAAGGATCATATTTTCTATTTTTCAAGATTTTCTTTCATTTTTTCTCCACTTGCAGTCCATCTCTCATCCCTACTTTCATAGCTGAGTGGGATTACCACATCAGTTCAATCACGATCCTTGGCTTTAAGTCATGATAGTCTGGAATATGCTGAAAACTGCAGCAAAGTTGAGAGTTTCCCCAACCAGTGAAACGACTCAACTCACGGCGCTTTTTATTGAAGATGATTGGCGAGCTAGAGAGTTCTTATACGGATTCATATTGCAAATAGTGACAGCTGGAAAGCGAATTTGTTCGAATCGGATTTCAACACCAACCACGATATCATTTCTGAAACATCTCTGAAAATCAAATCAGCCAAAAAGGAAACCGTCACTATTAGCGGTTGCATTCCGCTAGGACTATCTGATAGCTGTATAATGTGTTAAATACGTGAGCAGTACCGGCACTATGGTCGATGCTCTTATCGTTGAATGGCCCTTTTATGCTGTCCAGCGAACGCAGGTTTGTGCGACTTTTGGAGGTGAACTGGTTTAAAGGCATACCTCATGATGATATATAATAATAAGATCTCTCTTTCCGGAAATCCCGAATATGACCTCCCTGTCCGACATGGTACAACACGGCTGCGGACCTTGGCTCAGAGTGGTTACCGAAAATTTTGCGGGTAGGGCCGGGATGGCGTGCTCCATGGAGCAGATCCAGTTTTCAGGAAGAGGGAAATGTGCGCGTGCGCTGATCTACGATACACCCTTTTATATGGCCTAGAGCTTCAATGAAATTAAGGCACCAGATGTTCTGGCATGCCACCAGAACCTTCCCACCTAATCTCACCTACGCACTCATCTCAACACCTCACCACTCCTTGAGCACATAAATGTCACTCAAATGATACCACAGGCGCGGCCTCGTTTGAGACTGAGAGGCACGCCCAGAATCCAAGCTACACAATAAACATTCTACCACTGTATTCCCCCGAACCACATCGATATACAAGAAGTCCTACATACCAGAATGAGTGTCAAATGGGGTCGCCCATCGTGCCGATTTTGAAATTTTTCGCAATTTT